AGGGAGACAACATGGACAAGCTTCTCTACGTTTGTCAAGCATTAAAGGTCGGGCTTGGCATCAGCCAAGAATTAGACATTTGGTTGAAAGGTCCTGCAGGCTGTTGTCCTGCCCTAGATGGTAAGTACTTGTTTATTCTCTCAAGGTGCTGTCCTGAAAGACAGACACTTTAGGAAACATTCGGGTTACATGTGTAGGTAACATGTTTTCCAGGAATCTCTGGGGACAGCAGCAACTGCCCACCCTTGTTGTGTTTGATTTGTGTTTGTTAAGGGTATGTTTTTCTTGTTATGTTGTGTCTCTTTCCAACTGGCTGACGGTGCTCAAGACAAACTAAAGGATCTGGCTAAAAGTGGCCTTTTAAAGACCGGGCAGGTGCAGTGTTTCCTGGGTAAAAAGGGGGGGGGGGGAGTGGGTGGGTTTTAAAGACGGGGGGGTCGGAGTCCTGAAATACACCTAAAAAATATGTTACTGGTAAGGGTAACTTTTTTTTTTTACTCTGGCGCCATCCCTCACCACCATTCTTGCCTAGGCGAGAATGATGATATCCCCATCACATATTCCAGGAGGCTGTAGGAGCAGGGATACACAGCATCTGATGGCGGCACGTCATCAGGGGGCCAGCTGCAAGAACACAGAAGCAACAGCTTATTCTGATGACGTTGGAGAAGGTGGCAGTGTTTTGCAGCAGGACAATCATTGAGCTGGTGAGTATATGAATTAAGGATAACCGGCATAATGGATAGGAGGGTATAAAAAAAGAAGTGGGAGGGGGGGTGGGTGATGTTCTTCTTTAAGAAAGCAAGTCTATGATTGCATGTGTGCATGCACATGTGACCCCATAATGATGTTGTGCCACTCATTTACTGTTTCTGTTTATGTATAACTTGGTTCCAGGGACATGCAAAAAACAGACTATGATGTGTGAATGTGCTGATTTGCTCTGGATTTTAATTCCTGTGTATGAAGGTCCCACTGAATCTGAAGTGCCCTGGGCTCCCCCAAGGTCAAAATCTGGCCCCACTGGCCACTCCAGCTGTCAAATATTGACAGTCAAGATCTAGGATTCTAGAAATTTTCCCATTTTTGGGCATCGTAGAGGTGCACAGCTGAGCATGCTGCATAGTTTCTATATCCAAATCAGGAGCTTTTTTTTCTCTCTCTGAGGAATGATCTCTCACTCCACTAGTTGTCTGAGACATGAGGAAGAGCTGAAGCAGGCGTGGTAGAGGATGGCAGGTCATGACACATTTTACTGCCTACTATTCTGCTATTCTGTGGGCATGGGAAGTCACTTGCTGCTGAGATCAGCTGCTAGCATGTTAAAGGGTTAGCTCACCTTTACCAAAAACAGCTTATGCAGGTAAGGGGTGTCTGTAGATAAAAAACAATGTGTGCAGCTTTGACTTAAGGTGTAGGCCATTTACAGCATCTCACAGAAGTGAGTACACCCTCACATTTTTGTAAATATTTTATTCTATCTTTTCATGTGACAACACTGAAGAAATGACACTTTGCTACAATGTAAAGTAGTCAGTGTACAGCTTGTATAACAGTGTAAATTGGCTGTCCCCTCAAAATAACTCAACACGCAGCCATTAATGTCTAAACCGCTGGCAACAAAAGTGAGTACACCCCTAAGTGAAAATGTCCAAATTGGGCCCAATTAGCCATTTTCCCTCTCCGCTGTCCTGTGACTAGTTAGTATTACAAGGTTCCAGGTGTGAATGGGGAGCAGGTGTGTTAAATTTGGTGTTATCGCTCTCACTCTCTCATACTGGTCACTGGAAATAACAGGACAGGTTCCACTTAGAACAGGGCTAGCCATGGTCGACCAAAGATGTTGAGTGCATGTGTGCAGCGTCATATACAGAGGTTGTCTTTGGGAAAAAGTTGAAGGGGTGGGGGGTCAGCCTGTCAGTGCTCAGACTATACGCCGCACACTGTATCAAATTGGTCTGCATGGCTGATGTCCGAGAAGGAAGTCTCTTCTAAAGATGATGCACAAGAAAGCCCGCAAACAGTTTGCTGAAGACAAGCTGACTAAGGAGATGGATTACTGGAACCATGTCCTGTGGTCTGATGAGACCAAGATAAACTGATTTGGTTCAGATGGTGTCAAGCGTGTGTGGCGGCAACCAGGTGAGGAGTACAAAGACAAGTGTGTCTTGCCTACAGTCAAGCATGGTGGTGGGAGTGTCATGGCTGTCGACACTAGGGAGCTACAGTTCATTGAGTAAACCATGAATGCCAACATGTACTGTGACATACTGAAGCAGGGCATGATCCCCTGATTTGGAGACTGGGCGGCAGGGCAGTATTCCAACACAGCTACCCCCTCATCCCCCCTTCCCCCTTGACATAACCCGCAGGGATTTCGTTGCTGCTCAAACTCCCTCCAACCCCATTCCCCCTCACTCAGCTACCCCTCTCCCACGGCCCCACCACTGCTCTGACCTCCACTTCCACCCCACCCTACATTCCTCATACTGAAGCTCCCCCAACACTCTGCACCTTTGACCTTACTACCATTGAGGAAGTCTCCAAGATTCTCTCTGATGCCCGCCTCACCACCTGCCCCCTCGACCCTATCCCCTCACAACTCCTTTGACCTCCCTCCCCCTCCATACTATGCTCCCTCACCCACATCTTCAATCTCTCCCTCTCCTCAGGCATTTTCCCCTCCCCTCTGAAACATGCACACATCACCCCCATACTTAAAAAGCCCTCCCTGGACCCCAATGACCAAACAACCTCAGACCCATCTCCCTGCTCCCCTTTACATCTAAACTCCTCGAGCGCCTCATCTACACCCGCCTATGCTCTCACCTCAACGACAACAACCTCCTCGATCCCCTACAGTCCGGCTTCCGTCCCCTACACTCCACCGAAACTGCCCTACTCAAACTCTCCAACGACCTGCTAACCGCCAAAGCTAATGGCCACTATTCAGTGCTCCTACTCCTTGACCTCTCTGCAGCCTTCGACACAGTCGACCACCCCCTCCTCCTCAAAAAACTACACTCCCTCGGCCTCAGATATTCTGCTCTCTCCTGCCTCTCATCCTACCTGTCACAACACTCCTTCAGCGTTGCCTATAATGCTACCACCTCCCCCTCACTCCCCCTCTCTGTTGGGGTCCCTCAAGGCTCTGTCCTCGGGCCCCTTCTCTTCTCCATCTACACCTCCTCCCTTGGCCAACTCATACACTCTCACGGCTTCAACTACCACCTCTATGCCGACGACACACAAATCTATCTCTCAACCCCCCACCTCACCCCCTCGGTCTCTGCCTGAATCACACACCTACTGAGCGACATATCAGACTGGATGTCGCTCCACTTCCTTAAACTGAACCTCTCCAAAACCGAGTTTCTTGTCTTCCCCCCAGCCTGGACACCACCCCCCATTGACTTCTCCATCATGTCCAACAGCGCCACCATCAAACCCGCCCTGCAGGCCAGAGTGCTTGGTGTCATTCTGGACTCCAACCTATCCTTCCAGCCCCAAGTCCAATCTTTAACAAACTCGTGCAGACTCCACCTTCGCAACATCGCCAAAATCCGCACGTTCCTAACCCCAGAAAACACTAAACAGGTCATCCACTCCCTCATCATATCACGACTCGACTACTGCAACTCCCTCCTCACTGGCCTGCCTCGCTGCTGGCTATCCCCGCTTCAGTCGATCCTGAATACGGCTGCCAGACTCATTCACCTTTCCATCCGCTCCATCTCCGCCACCCCCCTCTGCCAATCCCTCCACTGGCTTCCGATTGCGCAACGGATCAAATTCAAAATCCTAACACTGACGTACAAAGCCGTCCACCATACTGCCCCGAACTACATCACTGACCTAATATCCAAGTACCGCCCAGCACGCACACTCCGCTCCTCACAAGACCTCCTTCTCTCTAGTTCCCTGGTCTCCTCCTCCCATGCCCGCCTCCAGGACTTCTCCAGGGTGTCACCCATCCTCTGGAACTCCCTTCCCCAACCCATCAGATTATCACCTACTCTCCTCTCCTTTAGGCGCACCCTGAAAACCCATCTCTTCAGGGAAGCCTACCCCACCCCCTGCTAACTTGCCGACCTCCTCCACTCTTCCTACCACTCCATCCCCCACAGCTATCTCCTCCTGTACCACTATCCCCTCCCTCCTAGATTGTAAGCTCGAAAGAGCAGGGCCCTCAATCCCCTCATATTTTGCATTGTATTGGTATTGTTCTGTCACATGTTCTGTCCCCCTTTGTAATGTACAGCGCTGAGCGAACTATTGGCGCTTTATAAATACTGTATAATAATAATAATGTTGATGACCCCAAATACACCTCCAAGACGACCACTGCCTTGCTATAGAAGCTGAGGGTAAAGGTGATGGACTGGCCAAGCATGTCTCCAAACCTAAACCCTATTGAGAATCTGTGGGGCATCCTCAAACAGAAGATGGAGGAGTGCAAGGTCTCTAACATCCACCAGCTCCGTGATGTCATCATGGAGGAGTGGAAGAGGACTCCAGTGGCAACCTGTAACTCTCTGTGAACTCCATGCCCAAGAGGGTTAAGGCAGTGCTGGAAAATAATGGTGGCCACACAAAATATTGACACTTTGGGCCCAATTTGGACATTTTCACTTAGGGGTGTTCTCACTTTTGTTGCCAGCAGTTTAGACATTAATGGCTGTGTGTTGAGTTATTTTGAGGGGACAGCAAATTTACACTGTTATACAAGCTGTACACTCACTACTTTACATTGTAGCAAAGTGTCATTTCTTCAGTGTTGTCACATGAAAAGATAGAATAAAATATTTACAAAAATGTGAGGAGTGTACTCACTTCTGGGAGATACTGTACATACCTCCTAAAGCCTGACTGGAATACTCCGAGCACTTTTCTAGTTAAAGTGGTCAACTTGTTTGCATTGATTCTTTCATTATTTTGTGTGAGTGGTTGCCATTTATTGCTCTAGTGTGACTATTTGATTCCATTATGTTTTTTTTTGTCTTGCAGTAGATCATGGTCTTGTACGACTTGTTACAGCTTATCGTGAGCATGGTCACAAAGCTGCCAAAATTAACCCACTGTTTGCTGGCCAGGCAGTTATGGATATGGTACCAGAAATACAAGTGATTACTGAAGGCCTTCATGGACCCTTTCGCACAGCTGGTAATGTCGTCTACTTTTAAGCTGTTTTTTTTTTTTTTTTTTGTGACATCTTACCTTTTAATAAAGGATGTCCAATGCTGAGTAGGCAGCTGGATCTTGGAGAAATCTTCATTGTAGGGTTTGCCCTATCCTCTTCCTGTCTCCAAACCTCTCATGTGCAGGGGCTTAATAGCTATGGGCTGAGACGCTGTGAAAAAATCCTGGTGTGAACCCGCCCCCTCCTTTCACTGCCTGTAACAGGATCTGTGAATGGAGGAGAGAATTCTGTGACTCGTCAGACTCTCCCTCCATTCACAAATCAGGCAAAGCCAGTCAAATGCTGCCTTTTGGTGTGTGTTTTTTGTTTACATGGATTTACTTGAGCAGTGCTGCTTTCTAATACAGAGAGCAGCATATGTCAACACCCTTGCACACATTCTCATGGGCGACAGCGGTTTCCTGCAGCTGTTTCAGCCATCTGTGAGTGGCTAGCTGTGGCCGCCGAGCCCCGTATGTTTCAGTGACACATCGGTGGCCGTTGCAGTTATCTGTGTCTGTCCACAGATCCGGTGATTACCCGTGTTGATCCTTGCTGGACACTCACAAAGTCTCTTGTGCTAATGTAGCCTAAATCTGCTTATATATGCAGTACTCCCCTTCTAATTGCTCTGTCCATTATCATTTACCCTACTTTTTAGGGATACTGAATATGGGAAAGGAAGAAGCAACACTGGAGGAGATCTTGGAATACCTGGACCACACTTACTGTGGTCAGCTTTCCATTGAAACAAGCCAGTTGCAGCATTTAGAAGAAAGGGAATGGTTCTCTAAAAGATTTGAAGAGTTGAAAAGGGAAAACCTTTCCACAGAAGAGAGGAAGCACTTGGCCAAATTGATGCTGGAATGTCAGGTAACCTATATTTGACAAAAGTGCAGGACCTCTTTAATGTTGTTTTCTTTTCTCAGAGCTTTTCCTAGTTATTGGGATAGTTCCTAGCGCAGTACATCAAATGTGACCTATAAATATGCCCTTACTGGTAAAGGTCATCTTTACTTCATGCTAACATTTTATTGTAATTTAATTTGTTACATTTTAAATTAGATCAATGGAAAAATCAATAAAGTAAATAAAATTACTATGTTTTAATAAAAAAAAACTGTAGGCATCTCTATAAAAAGTTGCCCAAGCCTAATTTGCACTGGGGCTGTGTTCTGCACAGCTGGGGTGGTTCCTTGCCATCTGCTTATAAAGTTTAGTAAACCATACATACAGTGTATTGCACTTCACTCAGTAAAACTGGCAGGGCTCATGAAGCCTATTAAACTGTCATCTTCAGATACCCTTGAAACATACATTAAGTGTATGTATATTCATTCATAACTTCTTTTTTTTTTGGCTAGTGTTGGGAAGGGTTATACCCCTGTCAGGTTATTTTTGTTGTTTGTGTCTTGTTAGTGAGAACGCATACAAAAATTGGTCAAACACTTAAGCAGCCAATACATTCATCCTTTTGGTTTGTTTTTTTTGTTTAATTTAACCAGAGGGTTGAACAAAAGTAAAAGATCAAATTCCTCTATCCACATAACCTTGCACTGTGTTATTGTTTTCTGATGGTGGGGAGCCTTCCCAGCCATTCGAATACAAGTTTCAGTGCTACCAGCTATAGCTGGCGGCACTGATCGATCAGGAAAAACCCAGCAGACTGGTTGTACAGAAGTCGATTAGTAGATGTGAATGTACAATATATATGTAAAGCACTCCGTAAATTGATGGTATTCTATAAGTACCTATAATTAATATATTTACTTTTATACAACCAGGTTGCCCACATATGGATCACAATTCTGCCGGTCCATGCTGAACCAGCTTAATTTCAATCCATGTATGGGCGGTTTAAGCCTAGCAGCTGAATAACTCAAGAAGAGTGCTATGTAGCACAGTGTAACACAATGCTTTTGCATTGTGAGTAATATATAAATAACACCTCTTTAAATAGTAAATAGGGTAGAGCCCTACCAACCCCTACAACAAATGTTCACTGCAACAATGCCCTATTGGTTGTGAATACCAGTGCACAATTAATCACTTTTATTGAAGACCACTGACAAACTTTATACTCCACAAAAGAAAAAAGTCTAGAAAAAAAATCCCCTCTGCTCATTAACTGACACATCCCAACAAATACGTTGGATGTTCTGACTGACGTTTGCTGTCATTACTTATAACACTAATGTAAGTTAGTGTAATTCAGAATTTTAACAAATGTGGCTCTTTGGAAATCTCTTAAAACTCCATTGGGAATTTTTTTTTTTTTTAGTGGTTACAGCAGAATTAAACCCTCCTATTCTTTACAGCCAAAGGAGCTGTTGTCTTAGGTTCTGTTTCATCTGCAGTTGCCATGGTGCTGTATGTGAGTTGTGACACCAGCCATTTGATGTTTGACAGTTCAGTTGGGAGCACAAGCAAATGTGACTGTTATCATTCACAGCATCCTTAAATGTATACTTTTTTAGGAAAATATTAAATTGGTGGGTATATTTCCACTCTAAAGGTGTTTCCCATCAAATGTTTTTATAACCTTGAAGCAGAACTAAACCCATTAATTTAATGGTTTAAAAAACAGTTACATTCCCACTGGGAATGCTGTCACAATTGCTTGTATTCTCACCCAAACTGTCAAAGCATCAAAAATGTCTGGTGTCATAACTGATCACATGTACAGCATTTTGACACTTGCAGGTCAAATAGAGCCAAAGATGGCAGCTTCCTTGGCTGAGAAGGATAGGAGGGTTAAACTCCACTTTTAGGGCTTGTGTCAATGGCATCGGTTTGAGACACTCCTGAGTTTATTTAGAATTTGACAGATGCATTTGACCTATTTCTGACCTGTTTTTACATTCTTATAGAATTTGTATGGGAGTGCAAAACTTGTCTGAAGTAAGCCAAAGCCCACCAGGTCTGTACACTGTCTGAATGCCAGCTGTATCATTACGGCTCCACGCACACTAGTGAATTTTTTTACGCTCAAAAAACGGTGCACAAAAACCACTGGTAATAGCATTTTTAGTAGCGTTTAGGGAGCATTAGCGTTTTATTACCGTTTTTACAGTACATATAGAAAAAAAAAGAGAGAAGGCTAGCAAAAATGTAGTGCAGTGTTTAGGAGTGTTTAGGAGCATTTAGAAGCGTTTAGGGTTTTTTTTTTCCTGCTGGAAAAATGCTCCAAAAAAAAAACTCTACAAAACAATTTTTTATTTTCTGCTCCTAGAAGCTGAACCTCAAAAACACTAATAGCCTAAATTAGTGTGCATGGACACATAGGATAACACTATTTAGCTTCTAGGAGTAGAAACAAAATGCTTTTAACAGCTTTTAAAAATGCTAGTGTGCTGTTATCTGAGCCCTAATTCAATCCAGCGCTGTGCCCATCTGCAGCTGTTCTCTCCCCCACTTCTTGGTCTCACTGGTTTTGCTGATGCCGCGTTTGATTGGCTCCCGCTGCTGTCATTCAAAGCTAGGGGTGGGGGATGTGACGATTGCGGCGTCAGACCCCAGCCCTTCTCACCAAACTCATGACCGAAGGACTAGCCAATCTAAAACCGCGCTGTCACGTGCGTAACAATGCCACGCCCAGCTGCACTTTGCACAACGATTTTCCAGCTAATGGACCACAATCAATGTACTTGCAGCCTGAGCGTGATTGTTACTGGGTCAGGTTAATTACGCAATTAACCTTTCACACTGCCACCACCTCCTTTTTGTACAGAGAAAGGGAAAACTCGGCAATATCAGCAATAACACTATGATGTTTGAATAATCGTCGGTATACCACTGTCACTGCAGGCAGCGATATACCAAAGTTTAAAACACGCACACAGTAGCGCTCTTCAGAGGCAGGGGTTTTTTAGTTTTCATTAAAGAGCTTTAGAAACAGTTCAACACTTTCAGAAAGTAAGATTTATTACTAAAAGGTCAAAAGGGTGCAATTAAAATATTTACAGAAAAAGATGTAGCCAATATATATATATAAAAAATATACAGAAACAATAGCACAGCAAAGAGATAACAGAAACTTAGAGGGTTAAAGTACTTGCCAAACGTCCTGGTTTAAGTAGATCAGGTTTCATGAGCCAAAAGGATTTATCTCCCACTATTAGTTCCGATGTTAAAAAGGGAGATTCTTCTACTTCTTTAACTCAGCTCAGCTTAGCTTTTTCTAGCAACTCCACAGGGTGTCTCCCTGAAACAGAGAACCGATCGCCTCATTTGTAGGTGGAGACCTCAGGCTATGACCAAAGCCTGCACAAATTATATTGTGGTTCATAACTTACCCTGGACACATATAACATTCTATCCACGAGTAGATTAACGGTTAGATATGAAATATCCGCTTGAATGGTTACAGAGATATAATTTTCTGCTCTCCTGTATATGCCAGATAGAGGGTGTGATATACCAGGAGACTTGTCTTAAAGTCAGCCGTCCGAATATGTGCTCCATGTTTATGTAATTATGTCCTATTTGAAGATATAAACTTATATGAAAAAGTGAGTTTTTAAATGTAAGTCTGTTTTTACGACTCCCTGGAATGCCTTTGAGCTCAGTGAGGACTTGGTTTATGGCTTTACGAGCCCTCTCTAGCAAGAGTCTAGCAGACATCGGGGCACCTAGCTAGTGAGGTTTATAGCCATGACGCCCTCCAAATGAGTTTGTTGCCTGTGATCTCTGCCAACACACACCGACCACATTCCTGAGGGAGGGGGAAATCGGAGGAGGGAGACTGATTTGGGAGAGAGAGATACAAGATGGATGGGTTTGGAGCAAAATGGATGTCCGCGTCCATCTCTGTGTGCATGATTACTACAGGGGAGCCTTACTGTCTGTGTCAATAACTGCAGACAGCGAGGCTCAGGATTGAGCCTGCACATGTGCCCTCATAGAAGAAGGTATCCTATGAGGGCACTTGGCTGAGGGGGAGGAGCCAGGAGTACCGACGGGTGACCCGAGAAGAGTAGGTTTGAGACCATTGCACAGAGCAGATAAGTATAAACCTGTTTGTTTGTTTTTTTTCTTTTTTTAAAGTAAGCATTTACAATCACTTTAATGCATTCCAATGCAATAAAGTAGTTTCACTTTTTAGGAACTTTTCATGTGAAGCTAGCTCAGTCAGCTCAAACATTCTCTTAAATTATTTAAGTCCTTTTCACATATAGGCAATTCCAAATCTTAGCAAAACTTCCCGAATGGTACCCCAAACGTGTCGGATTTTGCTACAATTGTCATGTGACAAAATGCACACTTTGCAGCAAAGCAAAATGCACATGTAAAATTGTGCCTGGCTCAGGGCCAAAATTTGGTCCTTGAGCTTCTTTGGCATGACAAATTCCTATAGAGCAGCCCATTCAGGTGAATATGCTGCCCTATGCGCACCATCCATTTCCATGTGTGAATCACACTTTTAACTTGCTAGCGGGAACCCACATCTCTACTAAGCAGTATGTGAACAGGGAATTAAAATTTAATACATTATTTAGCTGTTGCTTCACTCCATCGGTATGATTTTAAGAGTTTGCCATTGTGTGGCTTTCACAACAAGTTTCTCCATTCCTGCTCCAAGAGCCTTTGTTAAGAATTCTGTAACATCTTTAACATTGTTTAGAGGTGGTCCAATCTTAAAGCCAGCCATAGATGGATGCGGATCTCAGCTGGTTCAGCAGGAATCGAGGGACCGGCCGAGATTCGACCATTCTGTGGGAAGTCTGGTTGTGCTGACGCTGACCTATCGGTTAATCAGCCATTTTCATTTCATTACTTGCAAACCATTATATAGATATTTGTGCTGTGCTTTCAGACTCCCAAATGTTCTTACCTACAGGAATTTGACCATTTTCTGGCAACCAAGTTTTCCACTGTAAAGCGCTATGGAGGAGAAGGAGCAGAAAGCATGATGGGATTCTTCCATGAGATGTTTAAGATCTGTTCCTTTAGCGGTGTGACTGATGTTGTTATAGGAATGCCTCACAGAGGGAGGCTTAATCTTCTAACAGGACTTCTCCATTTCCCACCAGAGGTAATTTTACTCCTCGTTCCTTTTCAAAGTTTCTAATTCTGTTTACTGTAAAGAAATCCTCTACCCCAAGCATTTATTCTATCAACCACGGGGAAACTGTGTGGACACAGTATAAGGCCCATTTCACACAGGCAGGCTCTACCAAGTGAGGGATCTGTCTGCTGATCCTCGATGAGCAAGCAGATGACAGATCCGTGTCCACTTTGCTTGTGCAGAGCAGACACAGACACAGGCTGCTGTTCTCTATGGGGCAGTCAGATGTAAATGGACCAGCTGTCTTTTTATACTGGCAGGCATCCAATTCGATCTGCTGGATGGGTAGGAAAGGGTTCCCATCCATCTATTTTTTAGCAGATAGAATTGGATGTCGGCGGATGTAAATGGACACATGCTTGCTTACACCTGCCGCTCCATAGAGGATAATGGAGGGTCTGATCGGGCCTATCAAAAAAAGCATGACAGGTGGACCCAATTGGTCCACCCATGTGAAAGAAGACTAAGACTAGAGTTACCATTACCTTTAGAGCCCTTCATTTCATGCCTGTCACAGGAACATTCCCCTAAAAATCTGCTTCCTATGTGGCTTAAAGCGGCACTGATTTATAAAAATACCAAAAAAAAAAAAAAAAAAAGCAATCAGGCAGGTATATATTGCAGAAGAGACAGATCCCAGTCCCCTTACCACTCCCCAATGTGAATGGGGTGAGTAGTACCTCTACTCATTCACCAAAAATATGACTAATGTAATTAAAAACAGCACACAGTTTTTGACAAATCTTTTATTAAACTAAAAAAAAAAAAACGCTCCTCCTGACAAAAAAAAAAAACGTCTTATGATCAATCCATTATCAATCACGATGAACACCACCCACATGAAGGAAAAAAAATGCTCCTCCTGACATTTTGGCTCCCAACGACTGAGACTTTTCTGCTCCCTGCCGCTTAAAGTGATTCTAAACACACACACTTGTACTCAAAAGTTTGCATACCCTAGCAGAAATCGTTAAATGTTTGGCAATGATATTGAAAATATACTGATCATGCCAAAAAACTGTCTTTTTTATTTAAGGATAGTGATCATATGAGTCCACTTATTGTCACATAGGTATTTGGTTGCCTTTTAAATCATAATGATAACAGAAATCATCATCCAAATGGCCCTGATCAAAAGTTTTTATTCTCTGGAATGTTTGGCCTTGACACACACGTACGTACGTTAAAATGTCAATTAAAGGTTAATTTTCCACATCTGTGGCTTTTTAAATTGCAATTAGTGTATGTGTATAAATAGCCAGTGAGTTTGTTAGCTCTTACATGGATATACTGAGCCATGGTGAGCAGAAAACAACAAACATCAGCAGACCTGCGTAACAAGATAAGGGAACTTTCATACAGATGGGAAAAGGATACAAAAAGATATCCAAAGCCTTGAATTTGCCAGTTAGTACTGTTCAATCACTTATTAAGAAGTGGAAAATTTGGGGAACACTTGATACCAAGTCAAGGTCAGGTGGACCAAGAAAGATTGCAGCCACAACTACCAGAAGAATTGTTTGGGATACAAAGAAAAACCCTCAGGTGGCCTCAGGAGAAATACAGGCTGCTCTGGAAAAAGATGGTGTGGTTGTTTCAAGGAGCTCAATACTTGAACAAAACCGAGTTGCATGATCAAGTTAAAAAGCCCAGTTACAATATACTTGACAACACATGCTTCACAGCTTCTGGCACACTGCATTCTGGAGTGACAAGACCAAAATAGAGCTTTACGGCACAACCATAAGCACTTTGCTTGGACAGGGGTCAACAAGGACTATAGTGACAAGAATACCATCCCCACTGTGAAGCAATGTGGTAGCTCACTGATGTTTTGGGGAGGGGAGGGAACTCTAAAGGCATGGGGAGTCTTGTGAAAATTGATGGGAAGATGAATGCAGCATGTTATCTGAAAATACTGGCAGACAGTTTGAAATCTTCTGCTTGAAAGCTGCGTATGGGACACTCTTGGACTTTCCAGTATGATAATGACCCTAAGCACAAAGTTGACCCCCCAGTGGTTACAGCAGAAAAAAAGAAGGTCCTGGAGTGGCCATCACAGTCTCCTGACCTTAATATCATCGAGCCCAGATCTCAAATATACATTTCATGCAAGACGGTCAAAGACTTTGCATGACCTTGAGGCATTTTGCCAAGACGAATGTGTAGCTATACCACCTCCATACACATATATATATATATATATATATATATATATATATATATACACACACACACACATAATTTTATTTTTTATTAATAACAAACATGTAATACATACCTGCCCTGTGCAGTGGTTTTGTATAGAGCAGCCCCGATTCTCCTCTTCAATTTACTTGGCGGCCTGGGGAAGCTGCTTGTCAGTCGGTGAGAGCCAAGCACTGGGCAGTCACTTGCCTGGAGCAACGGTATCCCTTACATTGTATCCAAACACTGGGAGTGGCATTTTTGTTTTGTTTTTGTTAGTTTTTTTTTGTAATAAAGGATCTATCAAATCTGTGTGTTATTTTTTATTTATACTTACCCCATACTCATTCACATAAGTGGTGCCAGGATCTGGGGTTACCTCCCAGCACCCCCACAACCACCGGGCTAGGGTTTTGGGCAAGAGGTCTTGTCCTCATCAACATGGGGACAAGGTGCTTTTCCAGGGCCTACAAATACTGTAGCTGCTGATTTTTAATATTAGGGCACTTAGGGATTCAGCAGTGTCCTCACCCCAAACCGATTCTTCAATCGGCTGTCGGGTGCTAGTGCTTCCAGCTTGAATAAGGGAAACTGGCAATGAAGCCTTGTGGCTTCACAGCCAGTTTCCTACTGCACATGCATGAATCGCGCTGGGTTTTGTATATGGGCCACAGACATTGCACAGGTCCCAGAGGGCTGCGGGGGGAAGGAGGGGGGGCGAACGTCCGTCTTAGTTTGCCGAGGTGAACACTGAGCCGGAAGTGAAAACGGGTACCCGCCTCCCCCCCCCCCCCAAAGGGTGCCAGATGTGGCAGTTGCTGGGGGGGGGTGTCTGGCAGGGGTTTCTACAGTTAAGCGGAACATCCACTATTTTTTTTTTTTTTTTGCAATTCTTCATTTAGACATTGTGCATTTACAAAGAAGTACCATCACACCAGAAATTCCACTTTTGAGTGGAGCTCCACTTTAACAACCTGCAGCCCTGAGTGGGACTGTCTCACATTTAGAAGTGGTAGGAATACACACATTAAATGTTTCACATCACACTGCAGCAGAAGTTCCAGAATGGTGTTTAAAATTACACCCAAAACGCATGTTAAATACAGCAAAATAACAAATTTAACTCTGTATTTAACATGCCATTTTTTTGTGAATTGCATGTTCATGAGCGTGAATATTGCATTATTTATTTCAACTTCATGTTGTATTTAACGTTTAGTGAATTGACCCCATTGGTCTTCTTAAATGATAATTGCATTAAATATGATATTGTTCATCAAGAGCTAATTTTTTTCAGACGTTTTAAAAATTATGTACATTTGAGGATTATTTACATGCCTATTTTATTTTTATAGCTGATGTTTCGCAAGATGCGTGGTTTAAGTGAGTTCCCAGAAAATTCTCCATCTATTGGTGACGTTCTTTCCCACTTGACTGCTTCTGTTGATTTGGATTTTGGTTCTGACAAACCTTTCCATGTTACATTGTTACCAAACCCTTCACATTTGGATGCCATCAACCCAGTAGCTGTTGGCAAAACTCGGGCAAAACAGCAGTCTTTGTCTGATGGTGATTATTCTTCTGACAGTCTTGCACAACCTGGGGACAAAGTTATATGCCTTCAGGTAGATAGCGGTTTTCATCTTCTTCTTGTTTTATTCTATGCTTATGTCATACAATGATATTCTAAACACATACAGTATTTTAACCAATTAGCTCCTCAGTAATAATAATTTGTTATTATTTATAATACAGAAGTGAGACACATTAGGTTTTTTTTTTTTTTGCATTGTCTTCCAATAGTTATGTTTTAAAAGGCAAAATAGGAATGGATAAGTATGCTTTCTTTATCGTCCTTTGAGGGACACAGGAATTCTTAGACAGTTGGCTTATGTTGCCCCTACAGGAGAAATGGAAATGGGATATGTCCATACTCCAATCTAAGTACTTTTACACATAAAAGGGAATGCAAAATACAGTATTTGCTCATTGACAAAAGGCTAAAAATAAAACCTATGTGGCTCCCGTCCAAAGTTGAAATCGCTATAAATAATAAAAAAAAAAGAGCATTTTTAAAAAATCTAAAAATGGAGCACTGTCATATACTATTTAAAAGTGGCAATTAATATAACAATATGTAAAAAGTAAATGAAGGCCACAAAAAAATACAAATGAAAATTGGGAAGCTCAAGTCCATAATGGGGGTAGTAATTACATTACCCCAAATAATCCACCATATTTCAAAACTGATATGGTCCAGAAACATTTAGGCAAAATAAAGGTAAAAACCATTGTTGTTTTTTTTTTCTTTTATAGAGAGACTTTTTTTTTACCCTTTTACTATTAATTTAACCCTTTTACTGCTAATGGTAAAATATAAAAGATGGTGGGAAAGTGTTTGAAAATCTGACAAGCTGACTGTCAGATGAAAGTAGTCTGACTGACTGCCCCCACCATGATTTCCAGGCTCTGAACACCCATTTGTGGACCCAGAAATGGCATTGTGGGTGCAACCAGGTAGAGGGGAGGGAGATCAGTGAACGTATATTTGCTGATCTCCCCTTCCTGCTACTGGCCTGGGAACAATGTGTAAAATATCACTCCTCAGTTCTGGTGTCCCTTTCCCTGGAGAAAAAGCGAATGGAGTGTGATGTGTACTACATTAGCTTTATTGAAGGACAAGTGAGATATCAAGGGTCTTTTAGACCCCTGATGTCTCATTAAACAGCACCTGTCACCAAAAAATGCATCACATAGGGGACTCTTTGTCTTCTATGTGATAAAAACAAAGAAACTTTAGTAAATAAAATGCAAAACAATAAAGTTATACCCAAGCACTTAATCTCTCCCAAGAAAAATGTATGAGCTCTCCTGCAGCCCCAAAAACGTTGATTGCACTACACCTACACATGTTCTATATTGCCTTGCATGATGGAGTGAGAGCAATAATTCTAGGCCCATTATTCACAGTTCTCTCTAACTGATGACCTGTAGGGCTTTAAACGTCACCAATGAAAAATATAGGCTACTAAGGTTTGTCACTGTTTCACAGGTGCAAGCAATTTTAAGGCTTGGCATGTTTGATATCTATTTACTTATCACAACCTTATCTTTTATATTTTACCAACCAAATTATTAATATATTTTTGTTTCTGTTTATGTGCCCTGAAATTAACTTTAATGATGGCCAGTTAGCTTAAGTTGTGTAGTCCAGAAGATACTTGAGAGTTTAATATAACATCACATAGAAGAGTTTGTGTTAGAAACAGGCAAATTTTGAACAATAGTGAGAATGGATTCATGAAAGACAGAAGTTATAAAAAAAAAAATCAGATTTCTTTTTATGAGGAAGTAAGCAAACATTTTGAGTGGCTGTGGATGTAGTATTCTTAGATTTTGACACAGTTCCCCACACATGGCTAATATGGAAAGTAAAAAACTGGCTAAAAGACCGTATTCAGAGAGTAGTGGTTCATGATTCATACCCTGAGTGGTCTAAGATTATTAGTGGTGTACCCCAAGGTTCAGTGTTGGGACCCTTACTGTTTAATATATTTATAAATGATATAGGGTCTGGGATTAAAAGTACCATATCAGTGTCTGCATATGTCACCATGCTCTGTAGTGGAATAACATCCTAAGGGCTGATTCACGCTAGATGCATCAACTGCTTGAGGTGATTGTAGCCGTATTAGTGCATTTGCGACAGAAACAATTGAGTACTGTCCGTGATACGTTTTTTATTTGCACTAACATGCAATTTTGAGGACAAGCTTTTGGGGTATGTCCCCTTCTTCAAAGTCCAAGCAGTACTATTACAAATCACAAAGTTTAAGCAGAATGTTAGAAGGGATGAAAAAAAAAAAAAAGGCTACAGATAAGATACAGCAAAAGCGAGGGGGGGGGATACAACACTTACACAGAGGGAGTCAAGCTTCAGCTAATAGTCATAAAACTGTCGGATAATGATTGAGGAATCCCATGTCCACGTTAAGGCGTTATCTCTTGTGTCAAATAGAATTATCATTCTTAGTTCAAAAGTTTTTCTTTCCTGAATGGATTTGAATGTTCCTTTCAGAACTAAAACATTGAGGTCTTCCATTGTGTGGCCTGGTTGTGTGAAATGGTGTCCTACAGGTGTGCAGAGGTCATCTTCTTTATGTTCCTTGATGGTATGTCTGTGCAGATTCATCCTTGTTTGCAACTTCAGTCCTGTTTCGCCAACATAAGATCCTTTGCTGCATTTTTGCACTGGATAAGGTACACAACATTACTGGAGGTGCAGCTGTATGATCCGGAAATATTGAAGATCCCTTTTGAGTGTCTGACACTTTTTGATGGATTGATTTGGTTGCACAGTTTGCAGCGTTTCTTATTGCAGGGTTTGCTTCCATTATTTGTGACATCTTGATCAGAAGGAAGTTTCCTACTGATTAGTTTATTTCTGAGGTTGGGGGTTGTCTGAAAGCCAGTATTGGGGGTTGCTGGAATATTTCTTTCAGAGTTCCATCCTCTGTTATGATGGGTTGTAAATCTTTGATTATTTTTCTTATTCCTTCTAGTGCTGGGTTGTATGTGGTTACTAGAGGTACACGGTTGTTTGTTTTTTTTTTTTCTCTTTGTACTGAAGTAGATTTTCCCTTCGTGTTCTCAAGGCTGTGTTTATGCTGTTGTTGATAGTTTTGTCCTTGTAACCTTTCTTATGGAAGGAGTCTGCTAGTGTCCCGAGATGTTTATCTCTGTCTCTTGGGTCAGAACATATTCGGTGATATCTAATGGCCTGACTGTGTATGATGGCACGTTTTGTGTGTTGGGGGTGGAAGCTGGAACTGGAACACTTTTCATCCATCAATCAAACTAAAAATGGAATACTCAAACACACACGTCAACTTCCTAGACACTACAGTATACATCAGGGATGATACGATTCACACCTAAATATACAGGAAACCCACCGACAGATGCAACTACCTCCACAGTTCCAGCTTCCACCCCCAACACACGAAACGTGCCATCATACACAGTCAGGCCATTAGATACCACCGAATATGTTCTGACCCCCTCCCCACCCTCGCTTTTGTTGTATCTTATCTGTAGCCTTTTTTTTTTTTTTTCATCCCTTCTAACATTTTGCTTAAACTTTGTGATTTGTAATAGTACTGCTTGGACTTTGAAGAAGGGGACATACCGCGAAAGCTTGTCCTCAAAATTGTATGTTGGTGCAAATAAAAAAAGTATCACGGACAGTACTCAATTGTTTCTATACTGCATCAAAAATGCATGGACAGTGTTTGTTTAACCACTTCATATTTCCCCCCAGCATAAGCCTTGCACGGGCTACGCTGCGTTCTGATCTGTCACCCACTGGGTCCACCAAACACAGTCGATGACAGATCACTATACCAGCCGTCTGCCGGTACCATGTGATTGCTGTAACCAATCACAGCAGATTACCTGACAATTGTACACAATGGATGGCTTTCATTCATGACTTCTGTGTACTATTGTGTTCCTCGCTGTGATAGGCCTCAGTGATCACATGGTACAGACCGGGCCATACACAGCCCATCTGTACTATGTGATTTAACTGTGGCCCATCACAGATAATCATAACAAAACACATGAAATGAATCAATTTCATTCAGTAAAAATTATTGTTTATAAAGTCAGTTATAAGCAATCATAATGTGTAAAAATAAATAAATAATCCTGATATGACCTCCCCAATGTAGTACAATGTTACTATGGTAACACTGTGTTGCTCTGGTCACAGTATGTGTATATAAAAATAAACAAAAAAGTGTAATAAAGAAAAATATTTAAAAAAAGAGAGAATATATATATATATATATTATATATATATATATATATATACTGGTTATAGTATGGAGGAAAAAGAAAAATTGTGAAAAGAAATTTTTTGACATTTCTTCTTTTTCGAAAACATTGTTACAAAAAACAAATTTACAACTAAGTACGTTGGATTGTCTACTTTCCAAAAAGGGGTCATTTAGGTTACATTTGTACTGAAATTAAATTGGCTGCCAGTACGATTTTCAAATATATATCCCACAGTTTATAGACTCTATAACTTTCCTACAGACTAAAGAATATACACTGATTTGGGTTATTTTTACCAAAGAAATGTAGCAGAATACATTTTGGCCTAAACTTATGAAGAAAGATTATCTATTTGCAAAATGTTATAATGAATATGAAGACATTTTTTTTTTTTTCAGACTGTCAACAAAAGTATAACGTAATGCTTCAAAACGCATCAAAAACACCAGAACGCACATGTCCTCAATGAAGAAAAACATATATTAAAAATGCTTAATAAACATGCATACAAAAATGCATCTAGAATGCAGAAATTGTGGTGTGAACTGGCCCTTACAGGATGTTTCCAATTTACAAGCAGACCTCAATGCACTTTTTAGTTGGGCAATTGTGTGGCAAATGAGGTTTAATGTTGATAAATGTAAAGTTATGCACTTGGAAGCAAACACAATGTATCCAACATACATACTAGGAGGATAATAGCTGGATCAGTCAGTGGGTGAGAAGAACCTGGGTGTTCTGGTAGATTACAGACTTAATGAGAGCATGCAATGCTAAGCTGTAG